GATGAATCAATGGATCAATGATCAAAGATCAATGGATCAATGAATCAATGAATCGATGGATCAATGGGTCAGTGAGGTCGTGAATCCATGAGTCAATGAATCAATAGATCATTGGATTAGTTAAGCAATCAAATGTTGAGTCAATAAAAAGAGAAATCTGGTAAACATATGAGGTTTACACATATTTTATAGACAATAATTTTATCTCCACAATTCAGGCGATACCATTAGTAAGGAAGTCAAATGAAAAAGCAACAGTAAGGCGATGAGTTTAAATCAAAAATGTTAGCATTACATGGAAAAGCATTTGCCTTTGTGGTTAAGAGTTTATAGCTATAATTGTAAAGGTTTCAAATCAGTAGCAATCCAAAAAAAAACATTCAAATAGCAAGAACGGATATGATGAAAATGGCTTGCTTGGGGGTAATACTCAGGATAAGTAAAATCTCAGCGGTTTCCCCCTTGTGCTATAGTAATTCTTTGAATTTAAAATGCCTGATTCATCGGCCTTATTGGTGGACAATTGGACAACCTCCACCGATCAAGATGGGTGGAGGGTTCAGTCTATCTACCCCACTAATTTCGGGGCAATCGGCGTCCGTAAGAAATATCTGTGGTTCACACTTGCTGGCAATGTTTTTCACCACGTCAAATTCAGCCTCCATTTGCGGGTTTTGTTCAGGTGTAGATCGTCAATGATGACCAATGCCGATGAGCTGGTCGATCTCCCCTCCTGTAGCTTGTTTTACCATCAGATTCGCTTGTCGCCAACACTGCACGTACCGAATTCGCCGATTGTGAAGCTAAAGGAGTTTCGATTTTATGCCAACTTTATTTATACATTGTTCATAAAATTTTCTTCTAAAGCTTAGAGCAAGTTTACTTGTTATCTGCATGAATATCAAAGTATTGTCTGAATGAATATCTGAATGTTATCTAAATGTTATCTAAATGTTATCTAAATGTTGAGCTATCTGAATGGCATTAATCTTAGTACTCAGTAGTGGCAGTTTTGTATGCAATATCTAGACATTTTCGACTTACACGGTTTTTGCTAAATGAACCATTTGGGGACGGTTGTTTGAGCGAGCTTTTCCTTTAGTTAATGGTGGGGGTTGAACGGGTTGCAGGGTGGAGGGGTGTTGAATGATTTGTTGGGGCTAAATTTTTAGGGCTCAATATTGTTGATGCTTTGATGAATACCTGTTGCATGGGCACTTGTGAAATGGAGGTTTCTATGAGGATCTGCGAGGAATCATTCATTTGCACCTAAATGGGCTTTTTACATTAAAGGAAGTAAGATTGAGTATGCGAGAAGATGCGCGTTTTCAAGAGCACAAAGTACAGACCAGCTTTTAATCTGTAGCGTATAAAAATGTGATGAATATTGCTCGATTTTCCATAAAAACAAACGATTTGCGACTCAGGCAACATTTGGAATTGAGTGTTTTGCATGTGTTGAAGTTGTAGTTGATGGATTTGTATTTCTGTTGTTGCCCCGTTGAATCGTACTAAAGTTTTTTTGCTAACCAAAATATTCTATTCTTCTCTAAAGTCGGATCTAATCTAAACCTGATAATTATGTGGTTTTGTTGGCAGTTTGACCCTGCGCATCCACATAGCTCATTTGTTCCCCGTTGATGATGATAGACACCCGTCTGAAATTTATCCAATAAATTTGCAAAGCTATGAACTTAAATACTGATTAATCTTTTCAGATTAATCTCTCACAAATATTTCTGTACTTCTTGTTGCTGTGATGGTTGTTCCATTGGTCTCATTTCAGCATATTGCGTCGAGGAGCTCTGCTGGATTATTGCGACGTCTCCGTAATGATACGACGGAATAAAGCAATTTCTCCATTTCATCGAAAACTAAATAGTCTTGTCTTGGTCATTGTTGTGAAGATAGCGTTTTATATCCGCAAAATTGTCGTTTTCTAAAAATTCACAGACTACGGGGCATTCTTAGTGACAACGATTTTTATTCGTCTCAAAAGATCCGATGATCTTTGGGGAGGAATAAAAATCAAAAATCCAACCCGAATCTTGTACCAACACTTTTAAATGTTATAAAGAATATTAAAATGCCTTGGAATTTTACAATGTGCATTTAAAGATACAACCAGAAAGCTAACTAACCAAGCGAGAATTCATCGAATGGTAAAATCGAGCGCGGCGGCGCTTGGCGAATGGTGTTCTTGCTGAAATGGTTAAAGTTTTCTTACAGAATACAATTTTCACCTTTCATCTCTACAATTTTCTCATTTTACAACTAAATTTTAAACTGGATCGTCTAGATTTAAACTGGCCTTTCTTCATTGCGCTTTTATTTGATGATTTTCTTGTCCTTGCACTGGCATCATATTTCCTTGATCAAGGTAAATGAGTGTGCCGTCGGGTTGTTGCAATACTTGCATTAATTGAACGGGCGCTCCATTCGAGTTGTTTGCTATTCGGAGCAAGATTGTGATTGATTTGTGATTGATTCGGTTGATTTGAGAACACATTCTGCACAGCCACATATCCCTGGGCAACACTTTGTAGATAGATTGGTGCATTCGGCTCTTGTTTTCTTATTCTTTTTCTTCTTCGATTTTGATGGTTCTGCTTTTATTGATGACTCTTGTGAGTGATTTGACGGCCGGTTGAATAAGCAATTCAGTCTAAAACTCAGCCATAAAGCAAGGAAAGAAGAGTTTATTCTTTGAATCTGAGTACATGTGTAACTTTTTTTTTTGTGAATAAAGCTCTTCCAAAAGTTTACTTAAGAATCCTACATGCACACTTACAAAATCAAGCAATAGCTAATCAAAAAAGTTACATGTACTTAGATTCAAAAGAATAAACTCTTTCCTTGTATGCATGAGTTTTTAGATGAATTGCTTCAACCGCCGTCAAATCACTGCAGGTATCAATAAAAAGCCAGAACCATCAAAATCGAAGAAAGAATAGAAACAAAAAGAGCCGAATGCCGATCTATCTACAAGTGTTGCCCAGGATAATGTTGGCTGTGCAGAATGTGTTCCCAAATCGCCGTCAATCACAAATCAATCACAATCTTGCTCCGAATATACTCGAACATGCCCGTTCAATTAATGCAGAGCAGCAACCCGACAGCACCTCGTTTACCTTGATCAAGGAAATATGATGCCGGTGCGAGACGAAAATCATCAAATGGCAGAAAGGTAATTCATCGAACGATCAGCCAAAGCCCGGACAAATGAAGGTGCAAGTAGGTGAGTATTCTGCTGAAAAACTTTGGCCATTTCGGCAAGAGCACCATTCGCCAACTGCGCGCTCGACACCGTTCGATAATTCTCACAAGAGCAGTTAGCTTTCAAGGTTAATCTTTAAATGCATTATAAAATTCAGGCATTCTTCTCTTTGTTAAAAATATCGATACAGATTCAAGCTTAATTTTTAGTTTTTATTCCTCTCAAAGTCATCGATCTTCGAAGGAATAAAAAATCGTTGTCATAAACGTTCCGTAATCTGTGCACTTTAAGCGACAGTTTGCAGTAAACATCTTCACAGCAATGACAGATGAAAGACTATTTGGACTTTCGATGAGAATAGTCAGCCCTCCGTCGGGCATCGCATCTCTTCGGCTGTATGAGACCTCTGTCAGCAACATCACAGCAGTAGAAATCTGGGAAATGTTTCTGGTAAATCTGAAAGACACTCAGTATTTAAGTTCGCAACCTGAAGGCCCAGTGAATAAATTTCGGGCAGATATCATCAACGGGTAAATGAGCTATGTGGATGCGCGGGTGCTGGCAAACCACATATATCGAATTTAGATCCGACTTTGAAAGAATACGCTGTAAAACAGACAGCAGTAAATCCATCATGACTGTACATGCTGCTCGTCAGAATCATTGCCTGAGTCACAAATGCTGTTTATGGAAAATCGAGCAATGTCTGACCACACGCCCACGGGTCAAAGCTGGTCTGTACTGTAATAACTGAAAACGCGTCTTTGCGCTACTGGGTGCGATGCGTCACGGGATCAATGAAGTGTCATTTGTGCCTGCCGTATCGAGAAAACAATAACCTCTTAAATGTTAGAAAACACGCGTAGTAACGAAATGTGTTGGAGTATTCGATCCCAACATTTATAGTAGTGGCTGTTGTTATTTGTGTGGTGTTATAATACTGATGGCAATATGTTGTTGATCGGCTGTGATGCTTAACAATCCATTGATTCATTGATTCATTGGCTCGAAATTCATGGATTCGACCGACGATGATCCATCATTCGACGATTGTTGTCCATTGAATCTGTGTTCCATTGATTCGACCGGTCGGTGATCGATTCATTGATTCATTGTTCTGTGATTCATTGATCGGTAATCCGATGATCGTGTTCGGTATTGTCCATTGATCATGATATCTGTTGTTCCGACGATATCTGTTGTTCCATTGATCTGTTGTTCCAGTGATTCATTGATTCGACTATCCATTGATCCCGACTATCCATTGATCGCTGGTCACTCCCCAATAATTCCCCTTCCCCAAACCCCTTTTCATTTCAGTGTCGCCTAAATATAACGATGGTGTCGTTTTCCAAATCGAAACAATAATTTCTCGAATACTGTTTAGTAATGATGAGGAAAAAAAATTAGTGTTAAATGTGCCATAAGCTGAGAGGCATGAAAACGGCACCTGTGATATGACATAGATGGTTTCCCGTCGCTGCCGCAAGCTCGTCGAGGCTTTAGATGGCTGTTTGCTTGTATTTGTGAGAACTGTAAGGGAACGTCAGGCTAATGGCAGCAGAGTGCGTAGCTGATAACTCTGTTGAAAAGGTAAGCTGGAGACAGAAAATTGCCGGCAACAATTAGCCGACATTACTAAACCGTACTTTTTCTCGGCGGAACGGAAAAAGTTTTTGAAGAAGTGCGCGTATTTCTCAGCAAACCATAGTCTTTTCTCGAATTTTCTGATAAACGCGGTCAAAGTTTTTGACCAAAAAGAACGAGTGAGCTGCGAATAAAAATGAAGATTCTTATGGACGTGCAAACGCGTTCCGACAATGGTGAGACAATCGGCGCAGGGCACCTGGCGCCGATCATCGAAGGATCAGAAAGCAACGTCATATGTTGCTTGCCGCAGGCCGGTTATCGGCCAACGACACCTGCTGCAGAGAAAACTTTGCCCGACCAGATCGACGAACAGATCATGATGCCACAATCTGGATCCCGGCCGGCTTTACCGCTGAGCTTGATCGCGTGACGTAGCAGGTGCAATGGAGTTGTGGTGAGCAATGGTGGTAAGCCTAAGATGAAGAATAGCAAAATGAAGCATTGTGATAAGGCTGGGGTGATCTGTATTTTCGAGATGAACGTATTTTGTGAGCAGTCAACAGAGAAGGCTGAGCGCAAAGCATTGTTTTTAATTGCAGCTGCTCTGTAATGTTCTCTGTATGTATTTGGAGGGTAAACGTATTGCTTCATTATACCCAGCTTATCTTACTAGAAGGAACAAAAATCATGGCCACTCTGATAAGAAATGATCTGGTTTAAGCTTTCGAGGCAGTGTCTTTCAGAGAAATCTCTAAATGGTGGCTGGTCGGAGAAAGGATGGCTGGAAATGCAACCACCACCAACGACTCAGAAAACTAATCAGCAGAAATACATCAAAAAATCTCTAAAACACGAAGGCCACATTTGAACATTATGATAACTAAAAGTTTATATAACAATAAAAATGTATAAAAACCCAGCAAAGAAATTCAAAAGCAATTAGAGCCAGATGTAAATTGGAGGCAGAACTTATGAACATACTCGAGACTTTAGACTCGAGACTCGATGCTCGTATTTCTTCGAATAGAGACCGGGTAAAGTATCGTCGCGTACTCCTGCGTAGCAGCCTTTCTAAAGTTTCTTTTCTGCATAAAGCTTTCAATGAAGTGCTATAGAGGCTGGAAAATGACTCAAATAACACATGAGCTAACAGATTTTTGGGCATTTTCCAGCCTAACATAGCTTTATGAAAGAGCACAAGGGCTGCTACGCAGGGAGCCACGTCTTACTCTTGCCGGTCTTCTATTCGAAGAAATACGTACTCAATCTCAATCTAAAGTCTCAGTAAAACCTCTGCCTTGAGCCCGTTCGCTTTAATTCTTTAATTTCTTTTGTTGGGTTTTATGCATTTTATTGATATAAGCACAGCTATCATGTCGTCAGAACAATGTATTGTGTTGCCCAGGCGCTGAAATCCCACGGTGACGCAGCCTATATAAGCCTTGGCTGTGCGTGGACATCAGACGGTGTTGGGCATGGTATCTCTTCGACCGTCGACGTGGACGGATGAAAGACGGAAGCGGATCCCATAAGACATGTTTGCCGGAAGAGCGAAACAGGCGCGTGCCAGACGTGGCACAGCATTGCTGCCATTCCCTCGGTAAATTTACTTCTGTATTGATTCATTGCCAAGAAAGTTCTCTTCGGGCGACACCTCACTGTTGCGTGCGGCGACCAGGCAAACAGAACATTAGTATCACACTGTTTATGCAATTCGGGCCAGGTTTTCTTTCGTAAAATGAGTTTAATCATGTTTTTAAATGTTCAAATTGATCAATGATTTTCGAAAGAAATTTTCATTTTCGTCTTTCAAATAAAAATCAAAAATCAAACCACCATCAAAATAAAAACGTCGATGGCAAAATAGAGAAAAAATGAAGCTATTAAGCTGAGAAGAATCAAAAAGATCACACCTGAAATACCAAAATTATGTTTACCTGGCACAGTACCGAACAAAAGTCTTGCAACATCCTTTTCAAAAAAATCGGTGAAGTACATAATGCCACCCGTTCGTAGAGCTTTTGTTTTAATTAGAATAATATATGTACACTTTATTTACAAAAACAAGATTTGAAGTTCAGCGTAAAACAAAAAGTAAATGACAAAACTACTAAAAAATACCTAAAAACTGGGTGCAAAGTCTTGCAACATTATATGTTTCTCATTTTTATTGTTTTCAAATTTATTAATTTACATATTTTGTTTTCAGATGCCAGTACCTACTTGACGACTCGAAGAGAAAAAATCATGAAAGCAAAGAAAAAAAGGTGAGCCGTTGTCTCTGATCTCTTCAAATGCGATCCATCGACCGTTTCTCGCATTGTTTCAAAAGCAAAAACAACTGGACTTATGCCGAAGAAGAAGAAAGGACGGCCAAGAAGAACAACAGCAAGAGGATCCGAATACTTTTGATGGCTTCAAGAAGGATCCGAACATGACATCAACTGAGGAGCTCGGCTGATCAAGGATGTTGCAACCAAGGATATCTCGATGGACCGTTTCTCGACGGTGAAGCTCAAGCAGGACTGTATAGCCGGAGGGCCGTACAGCCAACATTGACCGCTGGCTACAACTCTTTATATTCAGATCACAAGACCAGATACTTCAGTAAACCAACTTTGATTTTATCGATGAAGGCGCAAAGTGGATATCTTTGTAAGGCAGCCGCTTGATCGAACGTGAAAGCATGCAAACATGTGCGACCTGCAGTCGGCTGGGTCAATCATGTGTTTCATGCGTTAATTGTCTTTCTAGGGGCGACGACAAATATTAACGAATATCGTTCAAGTCTCGTCGATCAGCAAAGATCTTCGCCGTATATGAAGTACTGAAGGGTAATCTGCTCCGGGATCACATGGCTTCTAATGGCTTCTCTACAGAACATCGCGCCGTCCCCCAGAGCTGCTTTCATGATAGTCTCTCGGTAATCTGCCAATGAAGGAAAAACTCATCTCCTGGATGGTTTGCCTGTCTTGCCCCTATAATCGCCTGATGGCTGATTATTGAAGATTTATGGGCTGCGCGAACTACGGCTTTCACCTGAGATTGACTATGGTCTACATACGAAAGAGTTGAATAGTTCTCGCGAATGATCGACAATGCCAAACGGCAATGAACAGCAAAAAGTGGACCCGTCATTGATTTTGTTGTTTCTATCAAATGTTGCGGCTTGCACCCAGTTTTAGGGTATTTACTGTGGTTTTGCCGTTACACAGCGGGCTCAGATTTATTTTTGTAGTAAAGGACAAACGCATGTTATTCTGGTGAAAGCCCTACGACTGGTGGCATTTTCATCGGCCCGCAAAGCTGATGTTACGGGCACTATACGGGAATTAGAGAAAAGATTAAAAGAAAGGAAAACAGGTACTTGAAACTTAAGATCATCTTTAGTTCGGCGTATCTAAATCGAAACTAGCACACAGATTTTATATGCTACTCATGTCAGTGGTTGGTACAATGGTTTTAATAAAAAATTTTATTCTTATAAACTATATAGTTAAAATCAGGATTGACCCGTGGTATACTATATAGGTAAATTCGATGACTCTAGTTTCTAAAGAAGTATTCTGAAAGCGAAGTATGCCGCAAGCTGCTGTGGTGGACCCCACCCTATGTCGCAATTGAAGAAAGATGTTGCGTAATCTGGCAGCTCTCGGACACAGACTTATCTTACAATGTGGCGGGTGTCGAGTAGCTGAGGTCAGGCCTATTTACGATCTAGCGCGCATTGTAGCATAAAGTGACAGAAAAACTGCGTTTAAGACGGAACTTCGACGCTGCGATTATATTATTCTGTTTACGTGAAGTAAGTTTCTAAGTTTCACAAGGAAAGTAGAAATAATCGAAATCGACTAAGTCGCTGAGCTAGATAAGGTAAAATAATTTAAGATATTCATTAACAAATTTAAAACGAATTTAAAGACATTCAGCTTAATTTAAAGACTCGGATACAACAACGACTGCTATTTCTGTAATGAGCCAATAAAGCACACTATTAACTGCAAAATTTATGTTTTAATTTTGTTCTTCTTTTGTACAGGCACGATTTTGATACGATTCATGATTTGGCACTTCAGTAGATACAGTGGTGACTCAAACCAGTAGCACGTCATTCTTTTTCCATAACTGTTCATCTCAGCAAAAGATAAATGGTGATCGAAACCAGTGCGAAGTTTATCGTTGCCAGCCTGTTTTTAATAAGAAGTCTCATTACTCTGGTCTCAAGCTTTTGATCTGATACTAAGAAGTGGCAACTAAAAAAATGGTTGTTTGAAAGAGGAAGTAAAAAAACTTAAAGTTGACTAAGTAACTATAAAGATACGAAAGTGAAAACCGTGAAGAGAAAGTCGAACTCCAGCGAGATGGTGGCAAACGACAAGCTGATTGGCAAAAGTGACATTCCGGTGCGTTAGGCTCGTCGTATGGGGTAGTCGTTTGCTTTGTAAACAGAGTTGCTGCGCCAGCTCTTTCTAAAAGTCAGCTTGAGAAAAAAACTGCCAAGTCAGTAGTCGAAGTAACACCTGGCCAACTATATGATTACAGAAAACAGCAATTAATCTAGACTACTACGACAAGATGCTGTTCAGCAGAAGAGAAGTTAGGGCTGGAGTTTAATTGAAAAATCGTGGCACTATCAGCCGAGCAAGAGATGGAAGCCAGTTTAGATTTAGATACCGAAATGCTGCTAATAGTATCACCTCATCTATCGTAGTCGCAAAGATTTTAGTATTTCGACCCTCAGCAGCGTTTTTAGTATTAAAAAATAGCTGAGAGTCAGGGCTATTCCAGCGCGCATTGTAGTAAACCAGTGTCGAAAGACTCGTTCCAAAAGCAGACTGCAACGCACCACACCGTTAGTCCAATGCAGTATTTACGTAAGTGCAATCGAGCTTAGCTGCGCATCTTTAAAAAAAACGGTCTCTTTTCCAAGTGTGCATTTGAAGAGAACTGGGACGATAAACTAATATAAATGAAAAGAGGAAGAGGAAGTTTCGATGGGAAAGCCGATTGATTAGATCTTAAACTGATTTTAAACGTTATAAAGCTGATCGTATTGAAGATGGCAGACGATTATGAATGAACAGCGTCGGCACAATCGGCAATTTCCTTCATTCTCATGGCGAAAATGCTGAAACAAAAGAAAACCGTAGATGAACATTAATATGATGATTTGTTTAAAAGTGCATAAAGCTAGGCATTTGTTTTCTTGGTGGGAGGGCCAGGAGAAAAACTTTCCGTGGCAAAACGAGTACAGAACATTGGTCAATGGTAGACGATTAAATGGTAAAGAGAATCCGAATCGGCTGATGATGAGATCTTTATATTCATTCCATCGGATGCGAAACGGACGAAGAAGAACGACGGTAGCAGACTCAGAGCGGTGCTGAACTCGGCTCGAAAAAGGCGACAGTAAAGTATCTGCTTTAC